AAAACATGGATACACTGTCCTTTTATATTTTTGGTTGTGAGCCTAGCCTTTAACGTCTGAGACATCTCTCCAGCCCTACACTGTCCTTTTAAAAGATTGATAAACACGAGTTTTAAAATGCAACTGAAAACTCGAATCTTTCATTTACTTGGTGATGAAATTGGGTTTCTACAGTCTGTTTGGAATAATTTCCTCTTTGCTTCCCCAAATGTCACTGGAAATCATGAAGGTTAAAGGTGAGTATTTTGTGGAATGGCTGAAGTTCAACAGATGTCTATGGTGTGAGATGTGATACAATCACATTGTTAGAAAACCTGTGTTCATTCCAGCAACTTGGGATCTGGACACCAGGTAAGTGCTCCAGGCTCCCTTCACCATGTCAGGGACCTGCTTTCACCCTCTGCCCTATTGCCTACCTGGAATGTTCTTTCTGCTTACATGAACATACATTATTTCCTTACTGGGGATGTCTTTCTGCATGCTGTGAATATGGGGCTCTGATTGATTGATAAATAAAATGCTGATTGGCCAGTAGGCAGGTAGGAAGTGTAATATAGGCAGGATAAAGAGAGAGGAGAATTCTGGGAAGGGAAGGCTGAGTCAGGAGACGCTGCCAGCCTCCATTGCCATAAGAAGCAAGATGTAAAGTACCAGTAATCCACAAGCCATGTGACAACTTATAGATTAATAGAAATGGGTTAATTAAAGATATAAGAACTAGATAGAAAGAAGCCTGTCATGGCCATACAGTTTATAAGTAATATAAGTCTCTGTGTGCTTACTTGAGTCTGAACGGCTGCAGGAGCTGGGTGGACTGGAGAAAACTCCAGCTACAGATGGTAGCTACTGCTACCTCCACACACTCTTTGCCTCTCCTTCTTTCTTTTTTTCCATATCATTCATTTACTGTCCATCCTGTTCAGACAGTAAATTCCTTAAGGATGGAAGCTCTGATAATCTTATGTGCAGGCATATCTGGAGGCCCAAGAATAAAGATGTGAGCATAGCAGACATTTAGCAAATATTCTACAAATGTAGAATGAGTCCAAAATCTTACATGTATGAATTTTCATTCATGAGTAACATCTTACATTTTGGGAATAAATCTATTTCAAACAAAATAATGAAGCCACCATTTATAGATGTGATATATAGAACAAATAGTAATTTTTTTATTATTCTGGAATCTCAAAGACTATTCTGGTCTTTAAAAAATTTACACTTATTAATTGTGTGTGTGTGTGTGTGTGTGTGTGTGTGTGTGTGTGTGTGTGTGTGCACCTATGAAAGCCAGGGTGCACTGATGGAGGTTAGATAGCACCTTGGGAAGTCAGTTCTTTCCTTCTACCGTGTGAATTCTGGAGGCCATCAGGCTGGGCATCAGGTACCTCTACCCACTGAGCCATCTCGATGACTGAGCTATACTGTTCTTAATCATTTCCTTCCTTAGGTTCCTTCACCCATCTTTATTTCAGAAGCAGCTCAGTTAGACTCTGTGCAATTCTTTTCATGACTGCAAAGGAATCCGTCTTTGATGGGTGGCTTCCCTTTCCTTCATTGGCTTCTCTGTTACCTATGTCCATGAAAACAACACAACTCTTCCTCAAAGGGGATGAGTGATATTCTGTTCTGGGACTAAACATAAATGACTATGTCCTGGCAACACAAATTTAGGCTACCCCAAGTTCCATATTCCAGGGTAGTAACAGTTTGATGAAGTTTCTATAGTAATAGAGCTCTTCGGATATATTGGTGGGGATGTTCAGTACCTGGGTTATGAGAGAGTGGGGACATCTTAGTTTTGAGCCCCAAGTGCTAGCCGACAGCAACCTTAACCCTTCAGACAGTGGGGGAATGGGAGTCTGTTCATAGATTCCAGGAGATTTACTCATGGTCACAAGGGAGTTAGGCTGCTTACAGAGGATCGTTAGGAACTATCTTAACTATGACTGTTAAGAGTGCTACAAATGCCTCAGGGTATTTTGGTTTTGCATTTACAGTATTTCAACCTCTGTACTTTATTATTCTGGTCAGTTAAGCAGCCTTGCAGAAGGTCTAGTGGATGGTTCTTTCCATGCACATCCAATCACAAGGGATCCTGTGCTCTTTTTTTTTGGAAGACACACTCCAAGAAAGGATTTTTGCATAGTGACGAAATTGAAATAGTATAATGATTTTTCGTGAAGTGTTGTAATGAACAAAATTCCATGTGTGGAGAGCAACGCTGTTCCTTTGTGCGGACAGGTGATCCTATAAGGATGTCGTTGTTCTCACTTAGCTATTCAGTTCAGCAAGCTGAAAAAGAGAGCCCAAACAACTCGGGCTTCAACAAGATAAGGACTTACTTTCTTAGGTAACAGGAAGCCCGGTTGTTGGTTGCCTTGCAGGCTGAGGCTGTCAGGGCCAAGACTTCTGTAAATCCATTCCAGTCCCTTTCTCAACGTGACAAGAAGAAACGAAGGTGGATAAAGGACAGAGCTGATTATGCCAGCTGAGCCAAATTCTCTTTTTCAGGAGCTTCATTAGGAGCCCTAGCCATAAATTCTCCTTCCATGGCATTGGCTTATTCTGTGTTTCTGGCCATTCCCATCTGCCAGGAGGTTGGGAAATAGCAAAAATATTTTCCCTTAGGAGTACATGGATGCTGCTGAGAGAATTAGGTTTGTGCTAGCAGGGAAGTTAATATTGAGTAAGCTACCATCACTTTAGTTTTCATTTACCTTTTCTTTCTTTCAAAAGCATTTATTTTTATTTTTATTTTATGTATGTGAGTGTCTTGTTTGCATATATGTACCACGTGTAAGCCTAGTGCCTGTGGAATTCAGAAGAGGTTGTCTGCACCCCTGGAACTGCAGTTACAGACAGTTGTGAGCTACCATGTGGGTACTGGAATTGAACCTGCATCCTTTGGAAGAGTAGCCAGTGCAAGTTTGGGGAGGAAAGGATTTATTTGATTTAGGCTTCCACATCACAGTTCATCATCAAAGGATGATGTCACTGTCAGGACAGGAACTAAAGCAGGGCAAGAATCTGGTGGCAGGAGCTGTTGCAGAGGCCATGAAGGAGTGTTGCTTACTGGCTTGCTCAGCCTGTTTTGTTTCTTCTTTTTTTAATTAAGAACAATTTTTTTTTCATTTTACATACCAAAGATCCTCCTCTTCCCTCCTCCTGCCATCTCCCCCCAGGGTCCCCCTCCCAACCCACCCCTCATTCCCTCCTGCAAGATGGGGAGGTACATTTATTTAGTAGAGGCAGGTCCAAGCCCCTCCCGCTGCCCCAAGGCTGTTTGAAGTGTCCCATCATAGAAGTGGGCTCCAAAAGGCCTGCTCATGCACGAGAGATGGACTCTGATTCCACTGCCACGGAACCCCTTAAGCAGATCATGCTACACAACTGTCTTGCTATGTAGAGGGCCTAGTCCAGTCCCATGGAGTCTTCACAGGTGTTGGTATAAATCATGAGTTCCCACTAGTTTGGTTTGGTTGTCTCTGTAGGTTTCCCCATCATGATCTTGATGCCCCTTGCTCATAGAATCCCTCTTCTCTCTCCTTGGCTGGACTCATGGAGCTCGGCCTGGCACCTAACTGTGAATCTCTGCTTCCATCAGTTATTGGAGAAAGGCTCTATGATGACAGTTAGGGTACCCACCAATATGATTACTGGGGTAAGCCAGTTCAGGCACCCTCTCCACTATTGCTAGTAGTCTAAGATGGGGTCATCCTTGTAGATTCCTGGCAACTTCCCTAGCACTGGGTTTCTCGCTATCCCCATGATGTCTCCCTCTGTCATGGTATCTCTTTCATTGCTCTCCCACTCCATCTCTGTTCCAGCTCAACCATCACATTCCCTTATGTTCTCATACCCCATCCCTTACCCTCCATTGCCTACCCCTCATCCTCAGTTTACTCATGGAGATCTCATCTATTTTCCCTTCTCAGTGCCATCTATTCGTCCATCTTTGGGTCCTCCTTGTTAGCTAACTTCTCTAGAGCTGTAGGTTGTAGTCTGGTTATCCTTTGCTTTACATCTAGTATCCACTTATAAGTGAGTACATACTATGTTTATCCTTCTGAGTTTGACTTAACTCACTCACGATGATATTTTCTAGTTCCATCCATTTGCCTGCAAATTTCATGATGTCATTGTTTTTTCACTACTGAGTAGTATTCCATTGTGCATATGTGCCACATTTTCTTTATCCATTCTTACGTTGAGGGACATCTAGGTTGTTTCCAGGTTCTGTCAGACTGCTTTCTTATAGAAACCTGGACCACCAGCTCAGGGATGGTCCTACCCACAATGGGCTTTGTCCTTCTACATCAACCACTAATTAAGAAAATGCCCTTCAGACTTGGCTACAGTTCAAATTTATGGAAGCATTTTCTCAGTTGAGGCTTCCTCCTCTCTGATAACTTGTAGTTGAAAGTTTTTCTGTGTTCTGCCCAGCCACACGGTCCCACAGCTGCTTATGAAACAATCATTCAGAAGCTTATATTAATTATAACTGCTCAGCTATTTGCTCAGGCTTATTACTGACTCTCTCTTATACTTAAATTAACCTATAATTTTTATCTCTATTTAGCCATGTGGCTTGGTACCTTTTCTGCTTTGTCATCTTGCTTCCTCTGTGTCTGGCTGGTGACTCCTGACTCAGCCCTTCCTTTTCCCAGAATTGACCTCATCTGCTTACCCTGCCTGTACTTCTTGCCTGGCTATCCAATCAGCATTTTATTTATCAACCAATCAGAACAACACATATTCACAACATACAGAATGATATCCCACAGCAGTGCAGTATAGTTTTGTCCCAATGGATCATTATTTTACAGTGCAGTATAGTGATGTCAGAGTGTATCATTATGGTATTACCATGTGGTACAGTGACATCCTAATGCATATTATGAGGTTACAATACAGTATAGTGGGCAATTATGATATATTGTTCTTAGGAAAGCCTTTAAGGTATTTAACTTCCATTTTTTTTTATTCTTATGGTTTAGGAAATGGCTCTAGAAACCTTATCATGCATGTTATAAATCAGTGACTGGAATAAGAGAAATTGAATTCCCAAAGAAGTGACACATTTTAATTTTTAAAGTGATGTCTACAATCAGACAACGAGGAGTCCTGGTCCCAGTACAGAGGTAGGGACTCCAGTCTTCCTTAATTCTGAGGGAAAAGGAATATTAGCAAGTTTGAGGTGACATTGTTTGTGTAAATGTCATTGTCAAAATTCTTTATTTTAAATGATAAGGAGAACTGTTTATTTATTTTACATTTTGTTCTTTAGAAAACAAATTGCAAGTGCAGTGATATTTCTGATTAAGCAAGGCTCAGGGACACACGTATGGTAACTCGTGTACAGTTCATAGTCAAGAAACTTCGAATCCTGTGGGGACATGGACACCGAGACATTCACTTTCTTTGGGATGAAGGTAGCATCTGAGCATCAAGCTGTGATAAGCCAAGTGACTTATAAACAACATTTACTGCTTGCTGTCTCTAGAGGCTGAGAAGTCTAAGATTAAAGGTGTGTAGTGTCTGGTGGGCCATCTTGGTTTTAGGTTTATCATCATCTCAGTGTGTGAATACGGCAGGAAGCAAGGGAGTGCTCTGGGATTCTACAAGGACATTAAGTTTATTTACAGGGCTCTGCCCTTATGACATAATCACTCCACAAGAGCTCCATCTTCTAATACCAATACTGTATGAATTAGTATTTCAACCTATGAATTTTAGAAAGTATAAACATTCAGATCACAGCAAAGGCTCTGTTGAGTATTTGAAGTATGTGCTGTAGAAGTCTGGAAGAAGACAATGTTATGCCAAAGAAATTCATGGACATTCAACTTAGATGTGCAGATACTTAGCAAGATGCAAAAAAGGACTCGATGGTGCAGAGGGAAAGCTGTGGTTCGGTGAGGGAGTGTTTAGAAGCAATGTTGGGTAAGAAGTGGGAGGTAACTTGCTAGGCTTTGTGTGCCTGGCTAAGGACTTTGGATTTACTGGTAGGCAGTGAAGAGCTCACAGAGATTTTAAGCAGCGTGGTAAAATGTGCAGATTGAATTGCAATGTTTGTGACACTGATGACCATTAGGGGCATATGGCAGTTGTTGGTAGGAGACTACCAGGAAGCTTTCATAGCAGCCCAAGTGAAATGATTGGCCATCACAAAGGAGGAGGTAATCAGGATATAATTAAGAGGGTGGCTTTGAGCACCATCTTAGTTCTTTTTCTTGTTTCTGTGATAAACTACTCCAGAGAAAGTGACTTAGGAGAGAAAGTTTATTCTGGCTCACAATTTGAGTTACAATCGGTCATGGTGGGGGGTGGGGTGCGGGTGGGTGGGTGGGGATAAAGAAGTAGGAGGTTGAGGCAACTGGTCACATTGCATCAACAGTCAAGATGCAGAGAGTGATGGATGCTCATGCTGAGGTCACTTTCTTATATAAAGTTCAAGATCCCAGGCCAGGGAGTGGTGCCTCCCACAGTGGGCAGGTCTTCCCATCTCAATTGACAACACGACTGAGATAATCTCTGATAGGTACATCCAGAAGCTAAACTATTTTGGATAGGCCCTCACAGATGTCCCTGGGGACTTGTCTGCTGTATGATTATAGGTTCCATGATGCTGATAATAACATTAACCATCACAGGAAATGTTGTTCTTGGGCTTACATCTTTGTTTAATTAAGTATGTGTGTTTGTACATGGGAGTCATGAGCTTGGAGTTGAGTATAATTGATGTGCCTAGCTTGGAAACTGATACAGTAATCATTAAATGATATTAAAACTATAAGGAGGGACTGTGAAGAGAGCCCAGCTGGTAAAGTGCCTGTTGTACAAGCATGAAAGCATGAGTTTGGATTTCTAATACCCATAGGTGGGAGCTTCAACTTTTTTTGTGGAGGAGGTATTAGAAAAATAGTAGGAAGCAGAGCTTTGCTAGAGAAAGTGGGTCACTGGAGGCAAGCTGTCGGGGTTAAAGCCTGGCCCCACTTCCTACAAGAGTAGCCAGTGATCTTAACTGCTAAGCCAGCCCCTAAACTAATCTATTAGTAGACATTTAGGCTGTTTCCAATCACACACCCACAGTTGCTCACTGTTTTTCTCATGCCTGCTCTGCCCCCAAAAGCCTGTGAAAATCAAAGGTTCAAAGCAACTCTCTCTTCATAAAGAGACTTTGGAGAAACACTTCTCTACCAGCCCCTGCAGAATTTCAATGGATAGTATTTTTCTCTATTCTGTTGTGGGTATTTTAGATCAAAGAGATATTGGTTGTTTATCCCTTACTATATCCTCAAGTGTAGAATGGTATTCAGGATATCAAGTATGATTCCGGTTCAACAAACACAGTATTCCCAGTGGAGAAAAAGACAAAAAAAGCATACAAAAGATAGAGAGCAAATACAAATCATAAGGTAGATACTGATACTATTTTTAATTAATGAATTGATAAATATTTTAAAAGATCATAATACTGACTGACAAAGGCAAGTAAAGCAGTCACTCACCCACATTCCTTCAAGACCATTTACCTAGGGCCTTCTATATCTCATACTTAAAAGCACAGTGTAGAATTTTCCCTGTGCTAGCTGTCATCGTGGAATCATTGCCACTATATTCAAGACATCAGAAAATATGTCAGTGAAGTGAGAACAGTTTATCAACAAAGGCCACACCATGGCCACTTTATGGGCTCAGATCCTGACAAAACGATTCTCAAGTTGCCAAGCAGGTTAAAGGCGGTCAAAACAATGGTGACAGTCATAACAGAAACAGATTTCGTTGCTCGCCACAAGGATGTGGGTGCTGTGAAGCGGAACCACTGAGACACGCTTCGGACAACACAGAGTGCACTGCATAATGTAACAAACGGTTTCCATTATATGAGGAAAGTAGTTTTTGCAAAATTTTCCATTGTGGAACCTTACATCTTCTCTCCATATTATACTTGGATATAAGGAAGGACTGTAGAAACTTGAAATTCTTTAATGGGAAGTTCTATTGGGTTTTTAGTCCTTATGTTAGTAGGCAATATAATTAAGTGGGTTGAAACTCATTGCTTTCCAGGTCACCGAAGGAAATACCATGCTAATAAATGACCATTTCACTCAAAGGGTATATTATTCTTTACTAATCTATTTGCAAACAGGCTATGCATACTGTATGACTGTTCTCTCATTTTCCTATCTGTCTCATGTTCAGGGTGTAATTCTCAGAATTTACCGAATACAGCAGCTAAGTTATTTACAATCCTGTGCCTCAGAATCGTAAGATCAATGTGGTGATGTGCTGGTTGGTTTTTGTCAGCTTGACACAAACCTAGAGTTTTCCAGGAAGGGGACCCTCAGTCTAGAAAATGCCTCCAATGGATTGCCTGTAGGCAAGTCTGCAGGGCGTTTTCTCCATCAATGACTGATATAGGAGGATCTGGCCCACTGTGGGTGATGGTGCCGCTGGACAGGTTGTCTGTCCTTGAGGGGCTCCCTAACAGGCCCACGCACGGCAAGCATGGCACCAGCAGGTCTGGCCATCCCCCCTTTCCTTTTCCTTGCTAATAGATTACATCCATAAAGCTAGCCACTAAGGTCAGTCCCTTATTTGGCCATTTCTTTACGCCTGACTAAAACTCCAATTATCAAAACACCAAGGTCTAGCAATCAAAATTCATTATTTGGCTATGCTGGCTTACCTGTCTAATCAGGAACTGCCAATTCAGCTTATCACAGACTTCCCTTTTTCTTCTTAAAAACCACTCCTGCAGAAACATGTGATGCTGTCTTTGAAAGATCCAGAGGCAGACTCCCCTCAACCCTGCTTGGCCCTCGGGGCTGATAAATCTCCTTTGTGTGGAGAATTTGGTGTCTGGGTATGCTCTGTGCTGATTCTGAGGCCCCTTTAATCCTAGGCTGTGTAAGAAAGCAGGCTGAGCAAGCCATAAGGAACAAGCCTGTAAGCTATATTCTTCCATTCCTGCTCCTACTTCCCTTTAGGTAAAACTAGTATAAACTGTAAGCTGAAATAAAGCCCTCCCTCCCCAAGTTGCTGTTGGTCAAGGTGTATTTATCACAGCAAAATCCTAAACCATGACAAATCATTAATAATGGAGAGGCAGAGCCAAAGGCAGGTTGATTTCTGTGAATTCGAGGCCAGCCAGGTGTGCGTAGGTAGTTCCAGGCACAGTAAGATCCTTTCGCCGCCGCCGCCGCCGCCGCCGCCGCCGCCACCACCACCACCAAACAGACAAAAAAATACACAAACAAACAAACACCCCAAAGCCAAAACAAACAAAAAGGACAATGAGACTGATGTAAGGCCACTGTGACTTTATAGAGGGATCGTTCTTCCCCAGTTGAAGGTATGTACTTAGCCTTCTTGCCTTAGTCTATCAATACAATACAGGAATTTTGGTTGTGAATGTGTAATGCTGCAGGTTTACTAAATATTTGTATTCTGGTTCCAAAGAAGTTTGATACATCTGAGAACTTCAAAAAATATTTTCTGTTTGCCTAGTACACTTTTTTACATGCGAATTTAGTGATATCTCAGAAAATACATTATTTAACAATTTATAAAAATAGGCATATTTTTGTCGTCTGCCAGTTTATCCATGTTTTACTGTTTCATAATTAAAAAGAAATGTTTACTCACATTTGTTAATTATACATAATAATGGGTTTCATTATGATATCTTCATACATGTACATAGTGTAAGCCAATCATATTCACCCTTATTACCTTCTCTGGTCTTCCTTTCACTCCCACTAATCCACTTCCTCTTCTCAAGTAGACTAGACCTCCTCCTACATACCATGTCTTTTTTTTTTTTAATTTTAACAAGAACATGTACACGTTCGCTTACAAATTTTTCAGTTAGTATAAGATGTAAGAAACAAAAAAATATGTCTCTTTGAATTAAGTTCACCCTATTTGTCTTTATAATGAAAAAAAAAGTATAGTTAATAGAATAGTTGTTTACATCCAAGGGGATTTGGATCTAGGACACCCATGGTTAACAAAATGCTCAAGTGCTTTATGTAAACAGTCTAGGCTTTGTTGAGAGCTGATGCCAGTTTCCTCTATGCTTCAAACAATCCCGTCAAACAATCCAATGCCTGCATGTCCATTTACATGAATTTAG